ATATATTTTGGGTGAACTTCGATGATGTTGATCTTTGGTTGATGACTTTTGACCTGTGACAAAATTAAATGTAATTACATTGTCTTTTATACCAAATGATATGAAATGAACTATTCTACACTTTGATACCAAAAACAAGAAAATGTATTCAGATGGTAAAAAGTTGTGGCCATAAATGTATCAAAGGAATGAATATCTTTAAAAATTAATCAATATTTTAAGAGCGTATCCTAGGCTTACATGATACTTTTATTTATAATTTTAAAATGTGTGCCACCTTCCCGACATGCCATAGGTCTAGTGCATAAGATTACGTGTTAGGGTTGGCCCTGTGCACAGAGTCGGCCTTCTTAAGTATACCGAGTGTGACCACTGCTTGGGTATTTACCCAAGAGCTTGGGTATTTTGACTTGGTCTTGGGTTCTCGGGTATTCCGTTGAAATCCTTGGGTATTTTATTTTTACTAAGAAAATTAAATATTTTTGTCATAGAGGAAGAATTAAGAAGTAAATGTATATGTCAGTCCATTCAAGTAAGCAAAAGTCAACGAAGTGCACATAACATTGTTAATTGACTGTAGTTGCTATAAACATGGGTTCATAATTGTTTATTTGTGATTTGCGTTGCCATTGATCTTACTTAATTAATGCATTACATAATAAAACTTGATCACTGATCTACTGATAACACTGGCCGACTGAGAGCGTATTTTTCTATCTGTATTATCACCTCGTGAATATTAATTTTAATAATTAACAAAAACAATTACAATAAAAAATGGTTTATAAATTGAACTAAAAGGGAAACTATACATGCGAAAAACACGGTTTTTTTTTTCAAATTTTAATGCATTTTCAGGAAGCTTGGGTAATTTTGGGTAATTTTTGCTGAATCTTAGGTAATTTCGACCCAGTCATTGGGTATATCAAAAATTGTGAGTGGTCACGCTGAGTATACCTCAGCGGAACATTCAAGCATTGACGGTAGGGCAGGCCTTTCTAGCCAGAGTACTATAAGAAACAGTAAAGTGAGCGTCCGCTCTGGCGCCACAACGAGTTGATTTAGTTTCTGAACCACTCCCAATGACATTTTATGACCTATTTTCTAGAATACGATACTTAACACATAATGAATGAGTACTTACCAGGGAAGAAATTATGTGCAGGAAACATATTATTGAAGATAAGTTTACGTTACTAAAATAATCTACTTTAACTCCAGGTGTTGCAAAGTCTCTTCTCCCACGTTAGGTCGACTCGACAGGCTTCACGGCCAAACACACGCCATCTTATGGTAAAATCGGCCAAACTTTTTTTCGATATCGCCAACATTTTCAGATTTTTAAACGGATTAGTTTAAAATAGAGGGTACATAATCCCCATAGTCAACTAAAATACCAAAATTACACGAAAATCAGCGGTCATTTGTTTGAAATTGAAGAAATCAAAATTATATACAGAAAACAAGCTTTTTTTTTTGGTTCTTATACCGGTAATCACCACAAATCAAATGCCCATCTAAATCATTATTATATTAAATACTCTTTAATTATTTGCTAGCATGTAGGCCTATTTTAATCCCATTATTAAGACTGATCTCAGCGCTAGCACATCTTAAATATTAAAGGGTTTTTTTTTAAATATTTAATAACGTACATTGGAATCGATCATTTAGAGCAAATTCAAAGGGACTGTTATCGAATCGCAAATCTCTTTTTAATTAGTGGAAATTACATTAGAGGTAACAAACAGTTGTTAATACACAAAGCTATGAAAACTTTGATAAATAGGCCTACTTTATAAACCTTTATCTAAATTCGCCTCAGAACGTTATTGTGGTGGTACTTAAAACAATAAATCAATGTCGCTATCAGAATCATCTTTATGATATATGCTAGGCTAGATATCGAGTCAAACTTCGAATAAGTTTCTCTCTCTTTCCTTGAAATTGGAGGTAGGGCCTATAGGTGCGATCGGACGAAAATAATTTCATTGAACAAAAAACACAGCGCCTAACGACAACTCAAGTGGGATGATAAATTAATCATAAACTATTGTATTTGATTTAATTTATTGTATCAATCCTCAACGAACAGAATTAGAAACCACCACTAACAAGATGGAGAAAAACAAATTATATAAATAAACTTTCATTCATAATTCTTCATTATTATACAAGGAGGATAAACTTCAAAATAAAAATCAATTTCAATCAAACAAAATGTAACTGCTAATCTTTTAAATAAAACTCCAATTGTTACGTCAACTTGGCAAAAGGGGAAACATAGATTACGTTTTTAGTGCGAGGTACATAGACTAAGCACGTCCAATGTGAACAAATGTACAGTAAAAGATACAATCATTATATAATACATTTAAACTTTTGTATAAAATCAGTATCTCCAAAACACGTCTATGATGTTAGACCTAGGCCTTTATTGGAAAAATGTAAACTTTCACATATTCGACTAGGCCTAAATATAGTTTGGCCGTGACTTTTCAAACGTTACGGCCAGGTGAATTTTTATACGGCCAGATTTGAGTAATTCAGGACTAAACTATTAATAAATAGATTGAAATATTTGAACATCAGAAAAATACAAAAAAAATCGAAAAATCAATTAAAAAAAATACATCCATTAATTTAAGCAACTTAGTTAAACATTGAAAGTGGCCCTATTTATTGTGTTATGATAGTAAAGTAATTCCCAAAATTTACAGAATTCATTTTGAAAAAATGCACTCCTCTTTACTTTGCAAAAGTAGTCTCGAAAAGAAGCCTATCTCGAAAAGAAAGTGCATGGCTTCAATTCGAAGTTTTAAGGTATGATATCAGGTTTTTTTTTTTTCAACAGCCGACCGACGTCCCCAACACAACAATTGTTTTGGCCTAGACGACCCAAAGAAAAGTTATCCAAAACTCGTAGACCTTCAATTATTATCGGAAAGTAATTTTTGTCCGTCTCTGAATTGTATAGTGTTTATAGTTTATTTTTTAAATGTTGGAATGTTACCTTATTACACAGGTATAAATGAATGGAGTATTCCTTCCTCATGATATACAAATTATTGAAAACAAAGTAAATTTTAAAATGAAGATTTTTATTCTTTGAAGATAAGTAATATAAGTTTTTGATATTCAGGTTTTTTTTTTTAAATTAAGATGCATTAATTGTATTTGTTTATTGAGGATATTTAATTGATTGAAATATTTGAATAATTAATTTAGATTATTTATATTAGATTATTTGGACCCCAATGGAAATAAGCCCACAAAACCTTTTTTTTGGTGTTATCCAGAAAAATAATATCTATTTAATTTTGTCTACATATTGAAGTTATTGAAGTTGTCTTCATATTTTGCAGTATAATTTAAGTGATTTTTCGAATGAATTCAAACCAAATCAAATTATAGAATATAAATAACCAGGAAAAAATCTCGGTAGAAGACATGCTACGTGCGAATCACACAGATAGGAGGGTGGGGGGCAGTGGTGTTCAGATTTTTGTTTAGAAATGCTTGAGACCAATGGAAATTTAATCGAAAATTAGCTTGTTTTGGAATGGGCCTACGGTACTATGCTTCCCTCTTTTAGGACTTTTTTCTTTTCTCTTCTTTTTTTCCATATTTTGTCTTGGTACAGGTACCGTGGCAAGGCTGAGACACTTCGAGGATTACTAGGATTGTTTATTGGGGTAGACCGACATACATTTATTGATTGAATGACTTTTTTTGTAATGCTTATTCAGGAATAAACTGGAAAAGCTTAGCTTCATTTGACTGAGATCAATTATCATTCATGAATTAAGCGTGTAACAATGCACGCTAATGAAATGCGCAATTTAAAATGTGTGTGTGTGTAAAAATAATTTTAGTTGATTATACAATGGAGGAAATTCCTCCATGATTATACAGTGCTGTAGTCGCACGTATTTTTTCTAATAATTAAAGTCTTTTCAGCCTTAACAATTACCTCTATGGTGATGACTCAACCTGGTCATTTCGTGAGCGAAAAAACTTTGCTGATATACAAGGCCCCCTTCCCCACAACATTTGATCGCCATTCCCCATGACTCATCGTTACACCACTGCCCCTAGTTTCAGAAAGCCACAGGGCCCTCGGCCCCAACGTTACGACACTGTTGAGAAACGTTTCGATTTACAATGGCTTTCCCCCCCCCCCCCCCCCCCCCCCCCGTCGGGGAAAAAAAACCTAGATTGTTTTGACGCATTGTATGGTCTCAATGTGTATATTGTGGTATTTTGATAGGACTTAAAAAGAACTAGAATTTCTTTTATATTAACTAAAATTAAAATCCCAGCCCCATTCAGCCTTAACCAATAGGCCTATTCGAATTTTGTGAGAGAACAGCTTTGGATTTATGGAAATCTTAAAAAATCTCGGCGTTTTTCAAAGCCTCCTAAACCCCGACAAAACACGCCCAGCCCCAAAACCGAGCGGAGTGGCTCCACGCTGCTTATATTCAAGGAGGTAAATTTAACCTCCTTGTTATAATACAGTGTACTAAATATGACATACGAGTGATAATTTACACACATAAACACGTATATGCAAAATACAGTAGGGCCTAGCTAAAACATAGTGATCAGCTACAAAATAGCCACTAAATTCACAAGAATATCCTGGGTTTTTTTTTATATTGACGAACTACTGTATTATTAAAAAGCGAAACCAAAGCAGTTCCAAACTTCTCCCCCAAAAATAACTGAAGATCAACAACAAAATTAAGGCCTAATCTCTCAAAAATAACACATTATTTCAAAAACCTTCACAAAACACTACGTTTCAGATAAAATAGCAATGTTTGTAACCAAACCCGCTCACTTTTTCTAAAATTATAGCATAATTTGAGCAAACACAATATGGCAGATAAACAGCTTCTTGTTAATGACTATTTGAAGTCAAAAATTTCCTACGTTTAGATTTCTCTATTATTTACTGTACATTTATCATAGTGACTTCACCACTTGTTTCTATTATTGCAAGACGTTGGTGGTTTGAATCCAGCCACAAACACTTATTTTAATGATTTAACGTAGGCCTATATTAAAAGAAGCACTATGGATCAGAAAAAGTAACAAACACCATGAACAAAGATGAAGGGGAGTTTTGGTTACGCCACATCCATGTAGGACAAGATTTTGGTTCCTGAAAAGCCGAGGTGTCAAATACGGCTGGGCGCTACACATCACCAAACAATGTTACACACTACCAGCTTCAGTAAATCGAAACGTATAAATAAATTGGTTTAATTTTTAAAAATTACTAATCCACTACAATAAAAACAAAACCAGATGAAGTTTTTTGAAGATATATATATTATTGTCCAAACTTTGTATAAGTTTATTATGATATTTTCATTTATAATTTATACATTCATCATCAGTCACTTAGATTTATGATATATATATTTAAATAATTATTATAATTTCCTTATAATCACATTAATCACTTACAATGTAGGCCAAGTTAAGTTTGCTTCCCAGCTTAATATCCTTTTATTAATAATGAAGTTATTCATAGGAATATGAATACTTAATTAGGGATTGTTTAATCTGTTATACCAATAGCACTATTGCTTTCATCTAGTGTCGGACTCTCATAGTTTTCAATTCCAGCATATACCCTATCAGATAAAAATAATAGATCGGTACATAACAACTTTGTTTATATTGTACAGTCTTGTATTAGCCAATTTTATGAAGAAGGTACACTGAAGACAGGCTGAATTTTCTTTTCAAAATACATTGTTCTACACTCAGGCCTCGATGTGTAACTTTTTATTTCAATGCCTGACCAATGGATAAGGACGTAGAGCATATTATAAATAAACTTACGAATGGTATATATGCGGAAAATTTTATAATGTTGGTTTTCCAAAATGGTATTCTTATAAATTCACATTGCACGTCTGTAAGTTCACTTTTGCTTTCACACCCTTCGTCGGGCATTATATTGTTTTTAACTTAGTCATCTTTTACTGTTCTAAATATTAGTACTTCATGAGTACCAATCCATCACTGATCAGGGGTGGCGCCAGGATTTGCTGAGGACCCCGAAGGGGGGGGCGACGCCCCCGACGAAGGGTTACATTTTCCCGACGAAAGCAAAGTGGGCGTGGTCGAGCCTCGATTAAAAGGCTTCGAAAGTGGTCCAGGGGGCAAAGCCCTCAAAATTTTGACAATTTAGGGGTTTCAAAGGCTTATTTAATCGATTTTAAGAGTCTACTAATATGTAGAAAATACACATAATTTTGTTTTCACTGATCAAGCATGTTCCTTTTTTAGCTACAATTCTATTGAAGAATATTTCTCATAAGTGATCAGTTCATTAACCTTACTTTATGAACATTCTAAACTAACTAAGGAAGAGCCCCTCCTTTGGGACACCCCTGTTCAGGGGACGTCCTTATTAAGGAAACATTTTTCTATGAAATGAGAGGCAATATTTTTTTAAGACTACGGCCAAACCATATTAAGGGACACATCAATTAAGGGAACACTTTCTGACACTGTGTCAAATGGTCAAATCAATACATATTTAACCACTATTATTAAAGGGACATTTTCTTCATTGTATCACAACATTTACGGCAGTATCAAAATAAGAAACAAATTCATTCAACTTTAAATGTTTTTTGTGCACTTTCTAATCTATATCATAACATTCACCCTCATTTCTAAGTCATTACTATTAGATATCCATGCAACCAATACTAAGTTTAATATTTAAGAAAAAAGGTACTTGATCATTGACATTGCATCATGAAATAATATTCAGAACATATACAACTGTCTGATAGATTGAATTACATTTCTAGTGCTGATTACATTATTATAAATATTAAAATTGTATTTGCATTGTTAATTATTGTAATAAACTAGTTCTAATTCTACTGTAACTCCTTTTATGTCTATAAAACTAAAATTATAAAGAATGTATATCATGTTGTATGAAAACATGCCAAAACCCCTATTAAGGGGACAATTTCACATTTTTGGTTACTGTCCCTTGAATAGGAGTCCTCTACAAAAGGGACACCCTTATTAAGAGGACACTTTTTTTTGGTCCCAAAAATTTCCCTTTAATAGTGGGTTCTACTGTACTTAAAAAAGATTTATGGTTGAAAACGATCGACTGCACCTGATAAAGTCAAAATAGTCTGCAAATGATATTGCAATAAATAATTCAAGTGTTTATATTTCAATTTCTATACATCAATCTGTTATCTTGGCTTTCTGGATAAATTGGAAGAAAAGCAGCTTCCAAAATAAATTTTGAATTTTGTGCTCATAGTCCTCAAATATTTTAGATTATTTACAATTTAGCCGAGAGTGAACCTTGAACCAAAATATTATGCATATCAGCTAGGCTTTCTGTAAGTTTAACACTCATTATTTTTGCATCTGTCTCAGGACTAGTGTTAAAAGCAGACACAGCAAAGTTGATGTGTTTTGATTTGGGATTGTAGCACACACCAAATCCATCTGGAACCACAGGCCCAAAGCACAGCGTAGAATCACTTTTGGCAGGTACCTAGGTGCATAAAAAACAATGAAAATTTTAGCTTTCAAAGGAGCCTTTTAATGATATCAAATAAAAGGATTTATAGATGTTTGGATCATTACAGAAACAGTGAATCATATAGAGTAAACATGTACAGTAAAATCTTTGTCTATGTGTATAACATCTTTTTCTTGCAGACTATCTTACTCATTTTCAAAACACAACGAATATGCCATTGAGTATTTGGACACAATCTTTATTCTAGCAGACACCTCATTTCCTATATGTATACATATACAAAGGTATCAGGCGAAGTCCTTTCTCAATGGAAGGTCACCTGTGTCACTTTTGATGTAAAATCTGCGTTATAGTAATAAATATTGAACTAAGGCAGGGGTCTCCCTCACTCTCGCAAGCAAGCAAGAATCTCCCAGAAATTAACCCATATCCTGCAAATCCATATGTGCACATTTTCGCTGCTTTATTATCAGATGTCTGATGGTGCAGCAAAATAAAATTAAATGTTACAAAGCTCATTAACCAGATCAGTGCCGGTGGATTCAAGGGGGAAACCCCCCTCCCGACCCTAAAAGTTTTAAAAATTAAATAAATGGAGAGAAAAAGATAATCACATTTAAATTTAAGCCTGAGAGTGCCATTTCCGGTCGTCTTGGTGCCATAACCATAAATTTTCTTACCTCAGCCCCAACCATGATCGGGCTGAGGTGGTACAGATTGTACATCTGTGAAAGTCCCTCCTTGCTCCACCCCCAATTGCGAATTCTCGGATCCGCCACTGCAGATCTCCCGGAAAAGGGTGGCGAGGCCGCTCGATGGTCCCAACGGGAGCAAAGCAGGCGCGGTCGGGAGTTTTTCAAAGTAATATACCAAAAGTGGTCCAGGAGCGAAGCAGGGAGAGCTCTGTAATTTTTATACAGTATATGATTATTGAATTTGAATATGAAGCTGATATACAAACCTGGCTAGTTGATAATTTAAAATGTGTGCTAATGTGATAAGTGGTGTCCATCATCAATTCTGGCACATTCCATCCCCACTCGATCGCCATAAGTTTCAAACCTAATAAATGACGGTCGACACCATCTCCAAATATGGCCTGAAATATATATAAAATATATTTCAAATTTAAATGTGTTATTAAAATAACTTGTTTTAAAAGTAAGTTGATGACAGTCTTTGTACTGCTTTGTCATTTTTACAATTGAATAAGTTAATAATGAAATCATCCAAACATCATGGATAAGGGACAAATGAATGGACTGGACAAGAACTGACAGCCGCATCATCATCTGTTGGTGATTGAGAGTGTTGTGGTGCAATAGTGATGGCCACCGCAGCGGGATTCGCTCCATCAGACTAAAGCAAGAGAGATATATATACTGATTCGAGAGTACTATTCATTTGTTCTTCACTGTTTTTAATTTAAAGTTCCACCATAAATGTCAGATTTCATGTCAAGTCTAGTGCTAGTTTGAAACAAAGTTTTAAAGAAAAAATAAAAGGCCTACTATGGAGTTAATCGTGGGAAGATCACTTAACAAAAAATTAAATTATTTTCTTTTTATTTAACTTTTTAATTCTTATTTCCCTCACATTTTTCTTCTTTTTTTTCCAGTAATTTGTCAATGTCTGTAATGTGACCTTTAATTCTCTAAATTAATTTATTATTTTAATTATTCTTCTGAGTCTTTAATGTGTCAATTATAAGTTTTTTCAATTTGTTAATTATTATTTTAAATGTTTTCCTTAAATAATCAATTTTAAACATTTTCTGATATTTTTTTAAAATTGTTCTGTTTTAATTTAATTGATTTGTTAATGTTAAAGATCTAGTTTAATTGTTATTCTTTTTTCTTTATTGTATGTACTGAGGGTCCCAATTGATCAACTCTGGCTGGATAGACCACTCTCATAAAATATTGTTGAAATAAATGATAAATAAATAAATACAAGTGTCAGTCCATGATCATGTTTTGTTGGCTTTTCCTATTTTATTTCTGATCTTTTTTTTCTCCTTCTATCCCGTTTTCCTATGTATTCGCAGAGTGTTTGGTCACTTTGGTCACTTTCCGTGCTTGATTCTTCTTCAAATTTTGTCCAAGCAAATATCATATATCAAATTGTGTATATTAAAATATGACATTATTCTACATATTTTGAATATTAATAGCAGTCATAGTTAGCATTTCCTGATTTCGAGTTGGTTTTCATGTTATTTAACTTCACAATTTTCTGTATGATTTCATTTTTCTTTTTTATGTGTTATTTTACTCTTGACTTAATTTTTTTTTTTTTGTAATTTTAAAATCA